TCCTGTTTCAGTCTTTTACCTTTAGGTTTTCTTTCTCACCTTATTTTTTACTAACCAAGTTAATTAAGAGACTAACATTTAATTCTGTGGGAAATCACTGACTTTAACATGTTAAGACGACGCTTACTTATTCAGGCAGGTGATAGTAACTGTTCGTTCTTTCCTCAGCTGTGGTAATTAAAGATATTCCTATTTTCTGTCTCAAACTGATTGAAGTTATCAATCATCTTGATACTGCTATTGTGACTTACTGTAAAAAAGAACTCTCTCTGCTACCAAATAACAGTGAAAGTACTACTGAAAGCAGCGTGTTTACACATTTTACTGAACAGTGAAAAGCTGCAGAATTTCACAGATAATTCTATTGATCCAAACAACTGTCCTTCATTAAAAAAAAAATAAAAATAAAAATTAGAAGAAAACAAATAAAAGTTAAGAGAAAATAAATTAGAAAGGGATATGACAACTAGCAGTCCAAAATCAAGGTTCTGGATGGGGTCCTGGAGCAGATAGTGAAAGAATCCCAGTATTCCCTGTGAGGCCAGTAAACAGCCTGTTTGGGCTGGAACCTCAAAAGAAGCCCCTGGCCATTCACACAGCCAGGCAGTGGAACCTGATTCCAGCAGCAGAGACAAAAACAATTTCTTCTAGATTGGATCTTCAAGTAATTTACACTGTGAATCCTCAACAGTAACACAAGATTAATCATAGAGTGGCAGAATGTCTTGTGTTGGAAGGGACCTTAGAGATCACCCAGTTCCAACTCCCTGCCATGTGCAGGGACACCTCCCACCAGACCAGGTTGCTCAAACCCCATCCAGCCTGGCCTTGAACACCTCCAGGGATGGGGCATCCACAGCTTCTCTGGTCAGCCTGTGCCAGTACTCCCCCACTCTCTGAGTGAAGAATTTCCTCCTAACATCTAATACTAAATCTCCTTGTAGTTTAAAACCATTCCTTCTTGTCCTGTCATTATCTGTCCGAGTGAAAAGTCACTCTCCATCTTTTTTTATAAGCCGTCTTTAAGTACTGAAAGGCAACAAAAGGACTGAACTGTGATCTAGTGAGGGAAATAAACCAAATCTATGCTACTGTCTGTGCTCTTTTATATTCTGAATTACACTAATGAAATGAAGGTATTTTCAGATGAAGTTTGGTTGTCTGCTTTTTAAACTACCCATCTGGCATTTTCTCTATGGAGGCTGATGTTTTCACCTTACAGCAATCTTTAAGCTATATCCTCAAGTGGCCAGTATTCAGGTATTTGAATCCTCCAATATCCTGACATGAGATGAGCAATACTAGGAAGACAGGACAAGCTCTTTTACTTCAGGTTTTGGCCTTGCAGTCTTATGTGTCTTGAATCACTTGAAAACTGATTTCAATTTCATTCACGTATGCAGCTCTATTGGATCCAACAGGAATCCACATGTAAGTGCATTGAAATTTTCATATCATAGCTGATATGATCCTTATTTATATAAGGAAGAAACATAAAAAATGGCAAAAGATTAAGAAAATCAGCTTCTTGCTCTATCATATGCAGTAAACCACATTTTTTTGATAGTGATCTCATATTTACATATTAATATTTAAAAACAAATGTGTACTGTTATTCATTATTTATTGCTCCTTAAGGAGCAGATAGCCAGGATTTCTAAACAGACATATTGATTGGACTTTGCTCTTAGTGGGAGAAAAAAAACATTCTCTTTATGGCCTGCATTAATGTGGATGATCAATTAAAGTGTTTTTTTTTTGTTTGTTTGTTTGTTTGTTTGTTTTGTTTTGTTTTTGCTTTGCTGTTGTAGTTTGTTGTAGTTTTTTTTTTTTTTTTTTTTTTTTTTTTTTTTTTTTGTAGAGAACATCTTTTGAATGTTTCTGAAGTATTAAACTATTAATGTTAATACAGGAAACGACAGTTCTCGCTATTGGTTGAGCAACTTGTTTTGTTTTCCCAGCCTTCAAAATAATTCTTTTATTGCAAATGTAAACCTTGATTTCAGATGTTGTTTCATAAGACATAATCTCTACAAGTCTCTGAGAGGCTTTAATCAGCAGGTAATTCATCATACTTGAATGCTTTTGTAACTTTGCTGAATTTTACAACTGAGTATCACGCTGACTAGTAAAAAACTCATCTTGTGGCGTATGGCTACAAAAATCTGCATGTAACAGTAAATTCACCTCTCTGATCTTTATTGTAATTCTTGAATAACAAACTCAAATTAAGCATCTAGAAATGTGTTGTTGTTGTTGTTATTTTTAGTGGTCAGTTGTTATTTTTAGTGGTCATCATAGAGGGAATTACACAGAATTTGTCTATTGAATGAGTTCCTTCTAAGGAGAGAGCTTGCTGGAAGCTCTGAGGGTGGTAGTTGCTTAAAAGAAATCCAAAATTGGACAGCCAGCCAGAAGGAAAACAGATCCTAAACGCTGACCAAGGGCAGAGTGTCCTAAATCAGACCATCAAACAAGTCGTATTTTCTTGGTAATAACAGAGTTGCTAACTGATGGTGACATTTTACTAATAGTGATGCATTTATAACTGCTAAATGTTCTACTGTGCTTTTCCGCAGCATGGCTGAAGTTTTCTCTGCATTCAGCTTGTACTCATGTCTGGGTGGTACATAAAGAGGGCCTAGTGGGTGGCAGAAAGGAAGGAAAGTATCCACTAAGAGAAGTAATTTTCTTGAAATACCTATAATAGCCCATAGAGCTTCTCCTATGTATTTCTATTACAACTGTTTCCAATTAGGACTGCAATGGCAATGCCATCTTAGACACTGAATAGAATTACAGGAAAAAAAGAAATCCGCTCTTAAACTGTTGGTTGCTGTCTATCCGCATGTGTTACAAAGCAGGTCTGGTGCTAACTTTAAAAAGATGCAACAGATGAACAAAGCAGCCAAATGGGGCAATGAAGACAAAAACAGAATGTAAGAGAGATTAAACAAATGGCAATAACCAGTATCTACAATTTACAACATAGAACTCGAATGACAAACAGTACTCTCAGCTCACAGCTAGAACTGGCTGTTCTCAGCATGGTCAGCTGTGTAAGAATTGTATCAGATATAAGCCTCACAGAACAACTTGATAAACCTTTTGTGGAAATGGTGGAGCTGTTTTTTTTTTCCATTCATAAAAGGAAGAGAGAGGGGGATTGCAAGCATAAAGGTATATAAAGAAAAATATCAACCCAGTACTTCTGAAGCAGGAAAGTGGAATTAAAACTGCAATAAAATTTTACTTCATGTGATATAGGGGTTTAGCTGGCCTTCTTTTTCATTAGGTAGCACAAATGACTAAGCCATCAGCATTATTGCTAGGGAAGGAGTACAAGAAGATTGTGTATTGGGAGCCTTGCCGAAGACGCTTTTTTTGAGAAGCTGGTGATCTTGAACAGACCATGTCTGATACACTGGGACGTGTACTTAGGGCTCAAGAAGCCTGTGTGTTATTAACATACTCTGCAGCTTCAGTCCTGGGGAAAGGTAAAGTGCATGGTGGATCAAGGGGTGGAACGTGGTGATCCCCACCAGGATCAATGGTCTCCGTGTTTGGGTGTCAGTGACTCACATCACGGTCAGCCCGACAATGCACGGCACAGCTAAGGGACACGCAGAGCGATCTTCAGGCTGACCCGTGCCACACAGGTCCTGTGCCTGCAAGACAAACCTCAGCAGCTCACAGTACCAGGGGAGGTAAAGGCGATTACACCACCTGTGAGGCCTTGCCTTTACCTAATGGTGAGGCATGAGGGAGTTCTCATGAGAACATCCTTTGGGAATACATGTAGGGTTGTTTTCTTGTGAGGAAGTTACATACCACCTCAAGTGACCAAAGAAGGAGAGCTTCTCTCCATGGGCAGAATCTGCCCTGTGTCGTAGAAACGTCCATCGAGGCTCTGTCTGATGCTGCACAGAAATGGAGTGCCCAGCATCTGATAGGATAAAAGACTCACTTAGTCTATATGATGACGATGATGTCTTTTTAAAGCAGTTATCAAGCCATTTTTATTGGGCCTTTCTTGCTAAGATCCAGAGAGAGCCTTGCACCAGCTCTCTCTCACCCCACTCCCTACCCCACCATGGTGCAGAACAGATGGTATGTGGTGTTATCAGGCCAAAGAAATAGAGGTTCACTGAACTATTTTTAGGATTTCAGCATGTTAAAAAAGGCTGGTGATTTCATTGCAAGAATTTTGAACTAAGCAGAGACACTTAATTGTAAGTACCTATATATATATATATATATATATGAGAAATTTACCTTTTTTTTTTTTTTTTTTTGTGTGTGTGTGTGTGTGTGCGTGTGTGTGTTCAGCACTACCACCTCAAGGTTGCCTCTGAAGAGTCTAGCAGAAGCACTATAAGGATGGCCATAATAACAATACTTGAGATATCCACCACATTAGTATTTTGCAGCTGTTAAAATAATGGAAGCACAGACCCTCAAATATAGGTCATCATATGTGCAGATAGTCTAACATTGTCTTGAAAAAAAAAAGTCTTATTCAACAATGAACAAGCTAATAAACAGATGAAAGTGCTTTGATCGTGAGTGCTGCTGCTGATATTGAACTCAGTAATTATGTTATAAACAAATCTGGCAATTATGAGAATAAAAACATAGATTCCCTGCAATGGATTTGTAATGTGAATGAGCATATAGACCAGCCTTTTAATTCTTATAGTATTCTTTGTTAATTTCTGGGTACGGTGAAGACCTACAACAGTAGATTTGAGAACAGTTGATTTATTATAAATTACAGTATGAGAGAGTTCCCCTATCACTTGTCTAAAAAAAAGAATAAATTATGTTTTCTTGAAAGCTATCTGGGAAAGCAAATTAAACTCATTACTTGTGTGAATAGACCAATATTTACTGATTTGTATGATTTCAGACAAACATTCAGATTTTTTGCGGAGAACCGACTTTAGGGACTGATGGAAATTGATTCTGATATAACTGAAAAATGACTGAAACAAGTGCTACAGAAAACATTCAAAATTAGGAAAAAAAAACAAAAAAAAAAAAACAAAAAAAAAACCACACTAGCATCTGTTGCCTCACCTTGGGAAAATCTTGCAGCCTTTTAAAAAATATATCTCTAATTGCATAAAATGTTTTATACCTCTGACTCTGTTTGATTCAATGCCTTAAATGCTTCTTCAGTGTTAGATGTAAAGAACTGGCTAGTCTGTAGGTCTCTCCACCTTTACTGCATATCACAAAAGCAAAACATATTATAGCATCACATATTATAAAGGGAGGTCCATAACTCATTTCTAGTCTTCAGGTCTTTATCTCTGTACATTCCTGTTGTACAAGACGATAATTATGTTACCTATCTAAATGGATAATTAAATTATTTCTTCGAGAGTCACTAGTAGTACTTGAATTGTTTGAACTAGGATTTTCATTTCATTTTATGTTGATCTGCAACAAATGTATCTGTTTAGAGCTCAGCTTCTGGAAGAATTTTCTATGGAGACAAGTAATTCCAGTGGAATTTTTGCTAAATTTTATCCTAAGATCACAGCATACTCCTAAAAGGTGTTAGTGAAAAAAACAAGCCTTTCAGAAAAACAAACAAAAAGAAAACAAACAAAAAAAAAGCCACAAAATTCAGTTTAGGCAATTAATTTCAAATATGTGGCTAAAATATTTATATTAAAATACTAAATGTTCCTCTTTTATTCAATGCCTACTGAATCTTTATTCCAGCAAATTGGTACAAAAGACAGTATCTATGTTCATTCAGTATGAGGACAGATAAGATTCTCTGCTTGTTTCTACAGCTTTTTTTAATATCATCCACCATATGTGTAGCATCATGTATGTCATTCTTCTCTTTAAATGCTTGTGTTGTTTTGAATTAAGTACATTTAGGGTCTGACCATTAAATCATTTACTTAATTAGAATTATTTACACAAGGGAAACAAAGTGTGACATTTTACAGAAAGATTCAGTTGGGTCTGACAACGTGCCTGGTTATAATAAATAATGGAGGCAAGTTTTGGCTTTAGCAGTTTCTTTGAAATATACACTAAGCAGTTTTCTGACTGTTGTTCATCTACTAAGCTTTGGACTGCTTGCTTAACAAATTGCATGTCACTTTTTATTTACCAAATGAAAAAGAGACTAAGTACCACTAATACAGTACTAGAAAATACTTATTTTCATTTTGTCTTTTTTATTATTTTTTATTTTATATTTCAGAAATAATTTCTGATGGCAACAGTAATGTTTCAGATTTGAAAAGCTGTTATTAGCCTTGCTGTTTCATTGCACCTTACAGCTGAGAGTTTCTCAGAATCTGGTGTTGCTGGAAGAGAAGGAAAAATCACATGACATAGATGTTATATTCTTTTGCAGCTGTGGAAAGGCAGAGTCTATCTGAAAAGATAGTATCTTATACTAGAACAATGCATACACATGTAATTGAAAAATGGTAAGTTTTGGACTTTCATATTCTTAGTCTGGGCACACTGCAGATTCAAAGAATTTCAAAGAATTATCATAGGGCTTAGCATATGTCAAAATAGTCAGTAGTTTTTTTTTTTTCAGAAAAGCAAAGTCTTTTACAAGAGTTCAAAGTTTTTTTTTTTTTTTTTTAAAAAAAGCTGACACAGCGTCACTACTGTGTGCATTACTTCCTGTCTTACTCATAATTGACACACTAAAGCATTCAAATAATGAAAAGATAAACCACTTAAGTACTCAATAAAACAAAATTGAATATAAAATGTCAGTGTCTTAATGGAAGAATGCCATGCAGTGCTGTATCTCTTTTTTGTTTTTAAAGATGCCAAATTTAAATTCGGTTTGTATGTTATTTTGTTAGGGTGGTATATTCCTGTTTCCATGTTTCTCTATTGTTTGGTTTATTTTAAACAACAACAACAACAAAAACTACCCCAAAAGCTAGTCATGATGCATGAAATCTTGAATTAAAAATCATTGGTATGCATGCCAGAACACATTCAGAATATTCTTTACTCATGCTTAGGCCCTTTTTCCATGTGCCAGCTGATTTTGAGGTCATTAAAAAATAGGATACATATTTGACTCAAGAACATCAGGAAGCGAAGGGGGAGGATAATTTATAATTACCTGAAATGGGATAACAGTGACATTGCCACTTCTGAGCAGACAATGAAGTACAGTGTTTCTTAGCAGCACTGAATTAATTCATTCTTATAGGATGACTCTAAATCATTCTTATGACTTGTGCTTTTCCAAAGCAAACTGCAAAATACAAAACAAATGGTGTGCAATGCACTTGTGAACTAAGCTTTAAAAAGGAAACATTAAAGGCCACTGGTCTGATGCAGTCAGATTTCCAGACTCCTAAGGGATATTTTTGCAAGAAAAAACACTGCTGCTTCATATGCCGTGCAAGAAACTACATGAGGAGCCAAATTCTGCTTTTCAATATGTATCAACAGGGCTTTTCTTTCACCAGTTTAAGCAGCTTATGTGTACGCTAGGTTAAAAATGAGACCTAAGTAAATACTTGCAAGGTTTTTCCAATCACCAAACAGATCAGAAAAGAAAGTAAGACTTTATATGTAGGAAAGGATGCAGATGTAACACTTAAAATTTTGTGAATTTGCTAAATAAACAGACATTCAAACAGGGCATCTGTCTCATTAAGAGCTCCTACAGCTTTTGGAGGAGTAAACTATTGTACCCAGAACCGAATGCAAACGCTTATCCTAACTGATAGTCTTTTCACTCACAATAGATGTAGGAACAGCAGCATCGCTGGCATAAGGTGGTCATCTTCCTTCTGATACCTGTGCACATATATTTGTTGCTGCTTATGCCTATGGGTCCTGAATTTTTAAGAGCTTGTCATACAAACAGTGGCATGTCACTACATATCCTAGCATACCCTTTATAAAGTACAGTTGCATTACAACCAGATAAAATGTATTTGACTCCCCAGTAGTAAATTGCTGGGTGACTTTTCTCTATTTCAACACTATACTTTAAAAGACTGAGTTTTCAGCTATTATGAAACATGATAGACTTCTGCCTTCATCCATAAAGTCTCAATCGACTGTTGAGACTGGGTCTCTTTCTTTCATAATAAATTGACCAAAAAAATGGAGGGGGGAGAAGGAAGAGGGCGAAGGAAAACAAAAAGCTTTTGTTATACATAGGAAATGTAACTGCTAAAAAAAAAATCTAAATTATGCCAGAAAATTAACAAGTCCCCATAAAACACCCCACTTAGAACCCTGTCCCACACTAGTGGCTAATAAGGATTGACATTAAAAAACGCATGTTTATGCCAATGCCTGTTTATGCCAAAGCAGAAGCTTCTTCTGAAGATATTTATGTAGATGAGCATTTCTAGGGAAATTCGACTCACATTGTTAGGAGTTCCTTCTTCAGAGGAACTCATGATATCCCTGTAGATATATTGGTGTGACAAGCCTTCTGAGTCTCTGATTTCATGCAAGTGTGCATCTAGATAAAATACATGGGGGAATGAAGGGAGAAGGTGAGAGAGAATCCCCAGTTAGCAGTGCAACATGTACACTGTCAGATACCCAATTCAGTAGCAGCTTTTTATTTCTTATTTGTCTGCCTTTTGGGCTCTTCCATGTATCAGTGAAAGAAGATATCAGTGCTGCATGCATACAGCAAAATACTGGTTTGCCTGCAGGCAAAGGAAGTTATTTATTGTTATTTATTATCCATTGTTATTTATTAAATTTATCTTTTCCTTCTCTGATTTTCCATCTTTCTATACCAAAAATATGCCCATGTTAATTTCTTGTTGACCGTTTAGCTGTGTGACATATCTAAACCTTCCTTTTAGAGGAATAAATATTACCTTGTTCTGAGTCAGACCCAATGTCTCAGTCTAATAGGCTTGATTTTTATCCAGATCATATGTAAGAAGATCACTGCTGGCGTACAAAGCAGTCGGTTTGCACATCCACTTTCATATCCACGTTGTCAGAATATTATCGCAAACCAGAGATAATAAATTTTACAATTTACAGTTAGGAACGTCGCTGATTCTTAAAGTAATTTTGTACAGCAAAAAGAAGTCATATGGAGATGTAACTTTTCCCTTTAGCATCTAGGAGTCTCATCATAAACATGTAAATGGAACAAGCTTAATTGTATGCATGCACAAACATAAAATGCTATCTTGTGCAGAGAACTTTGAAAACTGTTAAATGTTACAGTATATATACTCATGCATATTATGCTATAAATGCTAAAGAACTTGAGAACACCAAGTACTTGGAAAAAAAATAAAAATTAAATATTCTAGTTATCTCCACTGTTAGTAGGATGTTACCAGAAATTGAAAAATAGCGTTTCTTTACAGTTAAATTTTTTGGTTTACCCAGAAGATATTTTACCAAAAGTACCAAAAATATGAATTATAATTTGTAACTGTCTTTGGACACCATTGTCATCGAGGACTCATCAGGACAAAATCAATTCAGCGTTTCTGGTTATTTGTATGTGGTGGAACAGTAGGGGGAGCACAACGCTTTTTTCCCTGTAAATCTTACAGGATCATGACTATTGTCTCAGCAGAAGCACCATAAATTTCCACCATAAATACAAAAGGTTTGAATATACAGTGCAATCCAAAACATTGTTAGAATATTCTTGGTATATCCAACCTAAAAGTTAAGCGCTGATTATTCTGAAAATCTCCTGATTTTTCAAGGAGAAGTAGATGCATTAATCATTATTTAATCTGGAGTAAAAAAAAAAAAAAAAAAAAGCAAAACAAAAAAAAAAAAACGCCTTTTTGCAGTCACATTAAATTATATCAGCATCAGAATGAAACCAATATCTCATGTTATTTTTAATATTTCCAATGTAATGTACGGCACTGCCAGAATTCAAAATACAACAGGATTAGGAAGTGGACTAATAGAAACGCAGCACCTCAAGAGTTTGCTCTATTACCATACCCAAACCAGGGTAATGAGTCAGTTTTATCCAAATATGTATTTAAAATATTTTGCTGCTCTACAGAACTCCACGCATATGTCCAAAGTAGCATTTTGTACTTGTTCAAAACTCTGCCTCGTCAGATGAAACCGGTCATGTTACCCTTTTCCCCAGTAATGAATTTCAGTATTTCCCTCAGATACTATTACAGATTCACCAATCTTCATTCTTTTCTCTTCCTTAAGAGAGCACTATCTAAATTCAACATTAAGTGCCAGGGGAATTTGACTAATACATAGCAATCTGTACTACTGTACAAGTACCATTAGCAGTGCATCTCAGGCATGAGAATTTTTCAATTTCTGCCTATGTTCAGGTTCACAATTCATCATCCCATACGGGCTTAGGCAACACACTAACCGGCTGTCATTGTGGTAAACCGAAGTTCACAGCATGGCCTGCTTTTCTACTTCAGTATCTGAGTGCCTCAGTTCCTCCAGAAGTACCAACGGGAAGCCAGTTATCTGCTATCTTCTAACTCAGTCTTCACCATTTTAAGTATATTTGCAGGAAACATACTTTTTCCAAGTATTTGTTACTGTTTTACATAAGACTTAATAAGGGACATTTTTCGTTAGTACTACAAGCTTTCCTAGCAGATTCTCACATGAAGATAGTAAGACAACCTGCATTGTTACTGCGTTTCCACTTAGAAGATGACATTGATTAGTTGTTGTGTCAAGATCCTTCTCTGCACCCACTTTAAAACAATAAAGACTGGAAACAGTCTCCTTATGGACTTCCGTTATCATCTTATAAAATTATATATGGCAATAAAAAAACATTTATTTGTCCATCCAAAAACGCAGTTGATAAGGGCATATTTTTTTCCTCATGTCACTATCACTCAGGTATTTCCTTTTGTTTTTCATTAAGAGATTTGATAGCAATGTGCAAAACATATTGGTGCTTCTAGCAATAGAAGCTATAAAGGATATACAAAGTATGGGATTCATTACTCAGACCACCAAGGTCTTGCAGTGAATTTGTGATTGGACTGCATAATGTTGAAAACTCAATTTTAATAAGTACTATTACATTAAAAAGAGTATTTCCTGTTCATATTCACTGGGAAAATACCACACTGACTCATGATTTTACATACTCTACCACTATATATGGAAATTATGTGGAAAGAAGTATTTGCATAATTTCATAGATGTTAATGGTCGTTTTACATTCACATACAATTTATTTTTTACACTGAATTGTCTCATTTTCTGTTTGTTTTTATTAACTATGAGCCGGCAGTGTGCCCTGGCAGCCAGGAGGGCCAACCGTGTCCTGGGGTGCATCAAGCATGGCATCGCTAGTAGGTCAAGGGAGGTGATTGTCCCGCTCTACTCTGCGCTGGTGCGGCCTCACCTCGAGTACTGTGTGCAGTTCTGGGCACCACAGTATAAAAAGGACATGAAACTGTTGGAGAGTGTCCAGAGGAGGGCTACGAAGATGGTGAAAGGCCTGGAGGGGAAGACGTATGAGGAACGGCTGAGGGCACTGGGCCTGTTCAGCCTGGAGAAGAGGAGGCTGAGGGGAGACCTCATCGCAGTCTACAACTTCCTCGTAAGGGGGTGTCGAGAGGCAGGAGACCTTTTCTCCATTAACACCAGTGACAGGACCCGCGGGAATGGAGTTAAGCTGAGGCAGGGGAAGTTTAGGCTGGACATCAGGAAGGGGTTCTTCACAGAGAGAGTGGTTGCACACTGGAACAGGCTCCCCAGGGAAGTGGTCACTGCACCGAGCCTGACTGAATTTAAGAAGAGATTGGACTGTGCACTTAGTCACATGGTCTGAACTTGGGTAGACCTGTGGGGTGTCAAGAGTTGGACTTGATGATCCTTAAGGGTCCCTTCCAACTCAGGATATTCTATGATTCTATGATTCTATGAACTATGTTTGTTTCTCTTTAAAAACACCTAGGTGAAAATACACATATAAATGTAAGAGAACTGAAATGCACTGTCCCCTGATTTCTTTCACTGGTGGCAGACCCTGCTTTATTTGTGGTGTTGAATGGTACTGGAATCTATAATGGCAGTGTGTGGTGTATGGTGGAACTGCAGCAAAAGTATCCAATTATTATTTACTCTGCTATGGAATTATTCAGGCAGAACAATATAGAAATATTTTGACTTGTTGTAGTGGTGATCACTTTGTATTTACAGTTACATAAAATTCATTATATGCAATAAATACTTGTTTCCAGCTGGAGCACTGTGCTTGCACTGAAATACAAAAATAATTTATGAAAAACCCAAATCTCCTGCACTTACTGTATTCCTGTCTTTTGATAAGGTTTGCTTAGAATTAACTTAAGAAATGACACACAGAAAATTATCATTTTTCACTTTATGTATTAAACTTTGGTGTAAGATTGTGAAAACTATTGTAGCATGCTCTGATTTTGGACTAGTCTTACATTATAGAATTGTAGACAATCTGATAGGTATCTGTACTTCTTCTAGTGACATATTTTGAATGGAAAACAAACAAACAAACAAACAAACAAAAAAACACAAACAAAAAACAACCTAGAGTTGATACCTTCTTGACACATTCACAGAAGCATAGAACGGTTTCGGTTGGAAGGAACCTATGGAGGTCATCTGCAGCAAATGAATAATGGAAAGAAATGTGAATAAAACTTCTCAGTGAAAGAAGCAGTGGAGGAATGGTGTCCCACTCACTGACTATATCTTGTGGTAACACTTCACCAAAGATTTTGCTGAAACAATTCTGAGGAGAATCCACGCCGTTAACAAATCCCAAATCCCCAAAATACAAATACAATGGCCTGAATACATAGCTGGCATTTATTTCTCGATGGAGCCAGCTGATAAATGGTAGAAGCACCTTCATGTGTGCCGCATGCTACTAGTGAACCATCTCTCTTTGCAGAGCTGTTTTAGTAGTGTTTATCAGCTCATACGCTACCCATCTCACAATGTTGTGTCATACGACTGTATCGAGTGTTATTTTTTCAGCACTGTAATATACGGCCCTGCTCCACCAGACCCGTGTAGCTGTGTAAATGTGGGAACCCCTGGCTGATGGCAGCTGGTCCAGCAGCTTTGCTGCTACAGAGGGAGCAGCACCTGAACCTTTGGGAAACCAATCCCAGGAGCACAGTGACACGGAGGGGCGAGGAACGAGGGGAAGGAGCTGTTTCACGCTGGCTTAAGCAGCCACACCAGCCGGTGCAGAACAGCCCCCGGGCTGCCTGCCCACGGCCGCCATGTCACCCCCGGACCCCCTGCCCACGGCGGCCATGTCACCCCCGCAGCGTGCAGCGGCCAGGGGCCGGCGGGGCCCCGCAGTGTGGCTGTGGCTGTCCCCGCACGGTTGCCATGGCATCTCCCCTCCTCCTCCGCCTGTGCTGGCAGCCAGCGCAGCGCCCCTCAGCACGGGAACCGGGGGAGGGGGGAACGGGGACGACGCCCGGTGCCACTACACAGGGCAGCCCCGGGGACGGTTTGGGGGAGGCTGTGAGGCGCCGCCATCGGGCAGCGAGGGCTGGAAGGCATCGGGGACATCGACGGAGGCACGGGAAGGGAGGGAAGGGCCGGGCGGCCGCTTCCGCCTCGCAGCGAGCGGCGGCAGGAAGCGGGCGGGCGGCACGGCCCGGCCCGGAGCCCGGAGCCCGCAGCCCGGAGCCCGCAGCCTGGAGCCCGGAGCCCCGAGCCCGGAGCCCGGAGCCCCGGCGGGGTGGCGGCAGGGGGCGCCGCCCGCCGGCCCCGGGAGCGCCTCAGGAGGGGTCAGCGGGCAGGCGGCTGCTGCGCTTCGGCAGGGAGAAGCCGTCAGGAGGGAGCTCCCCGTGTCCGAAGGAAAAGGGAATCAGCCCCGTAAAGCACCTCACGTAAAATTACATCAGCCCATACCGGTTTTTGTTTTTTGTTTTTTTTTTTTTAACCCTACTCCGGTCACTTTAGCCAGAGCCTTAGGCAGACACCTCTTACTTTGAAATAAATAAACGCTGAGGGGATTTGTCAAAACAGCACGTACCGGAAAAAAACGATTATTTCAGCCGAAGGAAATTGCAAACACTGGATGTTACTCGTTTAACTATAGAGAACCAGCCGATACCATTTGTTTGCTCTTCTAAAAAGAAACAAACATAAAAGCAGTGGTCGGGAGGGCATACTGGCGTGGCCATTTGCCCTGCTCAGACACACTGATGGCCTCTCAATTAACTCTTAAGTACTCAAAAACAAGACTGAGATGTACTTGTGCATGGCACTGTGAAAACGTCTTCTCAATGCACAACGGCAATCAAAAAGCACTTGCGAGATCCTCTGTTGCTTGAGATGGGATGCTGACCAACTGCAACTGTGGTGTCGTTCTACACGATCTGCTGGCCTACTGTCATGGGAGCACCCAGTTCAGACCCTGCTTGGAATCTGTCAGAACGCCACAGAAAACATATCGCAAGCAGAAGAGACAGTGAAGAGTGACAATGGATATCCTTAAGCATCGGGAAGGAAGCAATTCAAAACTGGGATAGATGAGTGCGAAGAATGATAGATGATAAAATGGAGCGGTGGTTTCCCAATCTCTGTTGGCTTCTGAGCAAGAAAACTGAAGATGCAGCGTGTTTAATATCATGCTCCGCTCCCCCTGTCAGGCTCACTTCTAACTTTTAATTTCCTGTGGCAGCAAGCAGCATTAAAACGTCTCACAGGCAACGGGTTGCTATGAGCTGCGCACTGGAGACTACTTGGACAGAGGAATATGAAATTATTAATGTTACAGGGGAGGCTTATCAGGAAGTCTCTGTGCGGGATTAGGTGATAGTATGGATAGTATCTATGGATAATAATTATCTGTATGGGTAATAATGGTATCTGTCATTTACTGATAATTCCTATTAGGATAAAATATTTATAAAGGATGCTTCATGTTTCAAAACAGAAGCCAACCATTATGGGGATGAGGACTGGACAGAAATCTCCTCATAGGTTTTTTATCATGTAATTGTTCATAATGGGGGTTCTTCTGACTCCCACAGAGTCACAAAGCAAATGGGTAAAACTGTGTATAATGGCTATCTGCTGATGACAGATTCAGAACTAGTTGTTTCGGCCATTATAAATCCAAAGATATTTATTCAGTGGAGATTTTAAATCCAGTGATGTCAATGGGAGCACTGCACACAGATTACATAAATGCAAAATGGAATGCTAGTTTTGGGTTTGAGGTACACACGGTGTTCATGCCTCCTACACTGAGCATATAAGAGAGTTGGTTAAGAAAGTTGCGTTGGCCTTCATCTACTGGGGAATGTTGCAATAATGTCTGAGGTATGCGGTTTTTATTAAGGACCACTGTGCCCTTCATCTGGGGGATGGCGCAGGAGGTTGATCTGCTCACCCACAGGTCGTGAATTCATTGACCCGCTCTTATCCTTCCTTTACACCTGATGGCAGATCACGCTCGCTGCGGACTCGGAACTCCGTGTACCAGAGTTCTCGGCACAAAGCTGCTGCAAATACACTGAGTATCTCCTGCGACCTGTACTGCATGCGTCTTCATCCTTTTTGGGGCCCTGGCTTTTAGAAATAAATTGTGGTATGTTCAGAATTAATTTCACAAATAATTTCTTTTTTCCCCATTTGGTTGCCTACTCACATTTTTCCATAAGTCCCATCTATAATTCAATCTCTAGAAATCTTTATTGAATTTAATGCATTAACCTCGAACCGGGAGATAAGGCAGGCAGACAAATATACGGGTAGGCATACCTACATACAGGTACATTTTAAAATAGAGATGATGCTTTTGCTGAAGTATTTCCGATTAATGATCGGAATAACAGGATTTTGCCTGAATTGATTTACGGGGATAAAGAAATGTAATTATAAAAAAAATTCCCAAGTTGTATTGACCATTTTTATACATTACACGTAAAGATGCCACACAGATCAACGTGGACGCCAATTCATTTTCTAAAAAAATGTGCGGTGCTCTCCAGGTGAATTGACCGCACTGCCGGGCCGATCCTTCCTAATTCCCTGCCAGCCCCACGCCGTGCCCTGGGGCCGTCTGCCTGGACAAAAAGTTTTGAGGGGAGCGCAGGAGGAGGCCGGGCTCGGGGCAGGTGGCAGCAGGTGACAGCAGGTGCCGGCAGGCGGCGAGCCCCCTGCCACCTCCCCGGGGCTCCCCGGGGCTGCACCCCCAGGGAGCTGCGGGCCGGGGGGGCAGGCAGGGGGCTTCTCCCCCCCCTCTCTTCCCGTCCCCAAATCCCACCCGTGCCCCCAGCACAGTCCAGGAGGTGACACGGGGAGGTGTGTGCGTGTGTGGGGTCTGTCAGTGATCCCAGCACCGTGCCCGCCCCCCCCTCCCCGCTCCCTTTTCTCCCCCCTTCTCCCCCCTCCCCGCCGCCCCCAGCCGCGGGGGCGGGTGCCGGGGGGCGGCCGCCCCGCTCTGCCCCGCTCCGCCATATTCCTGCCGCACCACGCCCGCGGAGCCGAGCCATTGAAAAGCCGGGCGAGCCCGGCCCCTGCCTGCCTCCTCGGCCCCTGCGGCGGCTGCCCTCGCTCCACCCGCCCCCTCTCCCGTCCTTACTGTCAGGGCTGTGCCGAGCCGAGCCGAGCCCAGCCGAGCCGTGCCAGCTCTCCGGCAGCGGCTTCCCCCCGCCGTGCTGCGGCTGGCCGAGCGAGGGGAGCGGCGGGGACATGCGTGTGCGGCGGCGGGGGGCAGGGCTCGGCGGGCGGTAGGGGAAGGGGGGCGAGAGGGGCGAGGGGCGGCGGCGGCGGCGGGGCTCGGCCGGGGAGCGCCGCTGCCGCCGCGGTGGATGTGTCCGCCTGGCTGGCTGCGTGATCCCGCGGGGAGGAGGAGCTGGAAGCGGCGGGGGCAGGCAGCGGGGCTCCGAGCCGCGTGCGGCAGCGAGGCGGCTCCCTGCGCCTGCCCGGCGGGGGCTCCCGGGCACCGAGCGCCCGCGTCCCCCGCGGCTCGGGGCGGCGGCGGCAGCGGCAGCGGCAGCGGGGCGGGCGTGCGGGTGCGCGAGTGCTGAGTGCGTGCGGTTTTCGGGGGGTGGGGGTTGTGCCTGAACCGGCTGGGAAGAATGACTCTGGAGTCCATCATGGCGTGCTGCCTGAGCGAGGAAGCCAAGGAAGCCCGGCGGATCAACGACGAGATCGAGCGGCAGCTGCGCCGGGACAAGCGGGACGCCCGCCGGGAGCTGAAGCTGCTGCTGCTGGGTGAGTGCCGGGGGGCGCCGCACGGCCAGGCCCGGCCCGGCCCGGCCCGGCTCGGCTCGGCTGGGCTCGGTGCGCTGCGGGCCGCCGCCGGGGAGCCCCGCGGGCATCGCCGCCGCCGCCCCGGGCTCCCCCCGGCCCGGCGCCGCCGGCGCCTTACATGGCGGGGCTGGGGCCGGGGCGGCGGCGGCGGCGGCGGGGCCGCTTCGCCTGGGCTGGGCTCGGCTCCCCCCGGGCGCTCGGCCTCGCACGGGCATCGCCGGGGAGCCGCGGGCGGTGCGGGAGGGAAGCGGCCTCCCGGCACGGAGACGGGAAGCGGGGCCGGGGGCCGGGGCTGGGGGCGCCGGGGAGAGCCGCGGTGCGGGTGGGTGGCGGCGGGCGCCGATATCTGCATTGTGCTGCCCGCCGCCCGGGGGCTGCTGCCTCCCGCCGCCTCTGCTGCTTTTATTTTATTTTTTTTTAATTCTTTTTTTTTTTTTTTTTTTTCATATATTGTGATTCGTACTGAGCGATGCGAACTGGGATAAGGGGCTGGTGCTCAGATTGTAGACCGATTATTATTATTTTTATTTTTTTAAAAGCGGAAGGAAAAAAAAAAAGAAACCGTAAAGCCCTACGTGCAGGCAGGGAGGCGAAGAGTAACCCGAAGTATGCGGGAGGGTGACAGGAGCTTTAATACCTCTGGAATCCACCCACCAGCCAGGAAGCAAAATCTGTGGCATCGCTTCTCCCTCGTTAAAAGCAGAGGTCGTTATTTCGGAGCCGCAAGTATGCAGAGGCAGTGCTTATCTGACAGAGATTTGTCTCCTGTTAAAATAAACCTTCAGAATTAAAATACGTATCAGCGTGCTCCACGCTGCTGTGCAGCGCCGGTGGCAGTGCTGCTTCTGCCCGGGGCTCGCAGGCCTTGAAATATGTCTGCAGCAGCAGCGTCTGGCGTGTGGATGAGCAGGGACGCGCCGGGAGGATGCGGGATGTGATGCTGAGGGCTCCTGTCACGGGTCACGTATGTGGGGCAGCGACCTGCCCTCTCTGTGGGGCAAGGAGGGTTGAGAGGAAAAGTCACAGTGTATTTTAATGCTCGGCGTGAGCGTGTTATTCCCGGCTTTGTGAGACAAGAGCTTCTCTCCTCTGTGTGGAGGAGGGTGCTGGGATCCTTAGCGAGCGTGGAATAGAAGCGGTGGAGACAGATGCAGCGCTTGCAGTGATCACATTCGGTCTCGTTTTGGCCTAATTCTGCTTGATGAAAGTGCGTGTTGTGACTGTTTCGGGATTCACAGAGGAGATAAAAGAGAAGTTAGATAGTTTCCGTTTGTTTAACTTTATGGATGCTGAAGTATAATTACTGAATGATAGACGTTTGCTTCAGGAGAGGCAGCTGGCGTTTTTGACTTGTTTACTCGAGCCCGAATTGTTTCTGTATTTCCCTGATATTTCTCGTGATGAAGCTAGAGGTTTCTCCCAAGCTTCCAAAAATGTATGAATTCTATCGAAAGGCACCAACAGAGACTACCCAGAGAAGGAGTTCAGAGATGCACCTATGCAGTCAGACCCGGTATTGCTTTCCAAGATCCACCCGCAGGTGATGTTGAGCGTCCAGGTTAGGGCTTCCCCGCGGCATTGCCAAGGGCCATGTGGAAGGCGGTGACCTGGCTGGAGGACAGGCGAGAAGACAGCCTTTTGGGGGTGCTGGAGAAAGCTCACTAGGTTGCCTTTGTGAAAGTTTTCGACAGGTTTTGTTGTAAACCAGGAGTTGCAACGTGCTGATGAAGATGTGAGCGAGAGGTACTAGAAACCAGGAGGGGGTGAATGTTCTGCTTTATACGAAACAGCGTGGCTGTATTTGGGTAATGAAACCAGTACAGAAATTACTACTGCACGCTCATTTTTGGTGTTTCTCTTTGTCACCCTCTGTTGTGTTTGACCGAAAGTCTGTGTGTCTGTGCAGCTGTTTGGATTAACACATAATGACCTCATCTTGTACAAAGCAGTACAGTGGTGAACCACCGTTGAAGTCGTGGGATTGGGTAGAGATTTGGGTTTCAATTCATAAACAAATTTTGAGGAAAACTTTTCTTATTAGTGGTTTGTTCCAGGTGTATGACAGGACTCTTTAGTCACTCTCTCTGCTTCCCCAGCATCTGCAGTTGCTTGGTTATTAAGGTTATGTTGTTTGTGTGGTCATTTGTATTGTTATGAGGTAGACAAAGACATTTTTATTAAAAACAGTGAGACTGGTAAGCAGTTTCCGATATTTTTTTTGTGCTAAAGTCATCTTTTATTTTTTAAAATCTGGCTAGATCCCCACTGTCCCATTACGTGACTCTTCCCTTCAAAACTTAAAGGACTTTAGGTACTAGCACTGCTTAGCTATGTTAGTGTAAACATAGGCAAACTTTCTTTTTTCTCCCAAAGTGTCAACTTCTCAGTCTCACTTCGTAAAGAGTTGTGAAACTTAAAGCCTAAGTGGGTTAAATGCTTTTGAAAACGGGACTAAGGTATGTCCTCTGGATCCAAAGGGGAGAACTAGCACAGCCTAAGCTGAGCCTTGGTAATTGACCATGTGTGCTCTTCTCCACTTGCAACAAGTCTGTGCAAAACCCGTTGACTTGAAGGGTTTTAAGGCACAAATAAGCACATCTGCGCTAGATTTCTACTTATTCTTGTTTGGAAATCAGACATATACACGTGTGTGTGTGTAAATTATAATTTAAAAAATAGCGTTTGTGGATAAGTCGTTACCCCCCCCCCCCCCCCCTTTTTACACTGTGGAAAATACATTGCTTCCTTGCGAAGTGAATTAGTTCCCTCCTGACTGTGCGAGTACCGTTACCGAATGACACATACATGCTGTACTGGGTACGCCCTTTTGTGTATTAATAATGATATCTTTTTACTTTTCATAGGATCGGAGTTCAAAATGCTAAGTCATTTCTGGAAAATTTTTACTGCATGCTAAGATTATTTTTAAGTATTAGTTTAAAAATAAACCTCTGCGATTAAACGTAAAAATACCACTTTTAGGTACTTTGTTGTGCATCATTGCTTAATTTTTGGAACAGATTAGAATAGGAAAAAAGGTTGTGGATTTTTTGTTTTTTTGCTATTGTAATTCTAACAAGTCCGAACTTAAAATACACACTGAAGGGTGTTACAAAGGCATACTAGTAGTTCTGCTAGCACAACTTGGCTGTAATATTTAGGCACTTTGGAACAAATTCAGTCTTCCACTGAATTTGTTTTTAATCTCATGTATTTTCCAAATTCTTCTGGATTTCATTACTGCTGAACACTTTGTAAAACCCTATGATTGTTCTCCAGAGCTTAAAGTTGTTAATATCCATCCATTGTTTGCTGTTAGCTGTAAAAACACTTATATTATTTTTATAGCTGGAAAGAAATGAGGTGTTTTAATGTTTTATGTTGGTGTAAGCCAAGCAAAATGTAGAGCTTGTACATGCATGCTTAAAACACATACTTATTCTTAAACAAATACTTAGAGACATGTGCTCTAATTTTTCTGTATAGCATTTTGACTGTCATCCATAGAAATTTTCCATGGTCTCAGAAAGCAGCACTTGGGCCTGAATGATAGCTTGTAGCCATAAACCTTCAGCCCTGGACATTCTCTGTCAGTGCACTGCGTGTGTTAGTATTACACGCTGTTTTCTCAGTGGGAAATGCTTTGAGTGTGTAAGAAGATAACCTAGCAGTATCATGCGAGTTGGCTAGGTATGTCTGTACATCTGTGAAAACCATGGCCAAAAGAGGTGTTGGAGGGCCTGACAGTGTATTCACTGTTTTCCACCCTATTTGCAGGTAGCATCATGTGCAAAACACGTTTTTTAAGAGGTGCACGTTCCCTACGTGTGAGACGACAGGTGTGTCAGTGACGATGGGTGCCTGAGATGCGTGTCCATTTATTCTCTGTGCGTTACCAGAGGAAACAGGTGGAGGATAAGCCATTTGAGTTAGTGTGAACGGCAGCCAGGCTGATGTGGAAAGAAGCTTTTGGACGTAGGGTGAATATACCCAGTAAGTGTGCAGGGTATGTACGCGTTTGTTTTCCTCTGCCAGCTGAATTAAAGATTCACATGCACAACTTGGTGAGTTAGCAAGGGCTTAGGCTTTCTTTAAATCACTTGAAGAGGAAGTGAGTCCATTAAGCCAACAATGGAGTACATTGGTTTTATATAACTTTTTCATCAGCTAGAGAAACAAGCAAGCTTCCTTATTTTTCCTGTAGCTGAGCTGCTGCCTGTGGGTTCTTGAAATGGGACAGGGCAGGGTGGCAGTTTTGTACAGAAGGCGTTGCAGTAAATCTCTGCTGGTGTACTGCAGCTCAGATGTGTGGTTTGGAATGTGGATGTGTGAAAATGAGAATTCGGTGAAGCTGTACATAAATGAATTTCCTGTTTATATGTACACGACCAAATGTTGGAGGTCTGGCCACACGTTGGCTTATTTTCTTTTTTTTTTAACTGTAGGTTTGTTGCAGTTACTAAACAAAAACAAATTTCTGCGAAGTACAAATTTGACTAGCCAGGCAGAGCAAGTCGCGTAAAGGAAATGTGAATATTAAATAATAAATAGACGTACAGTGTGTGGTCATTGATGTGAACTGTCTATGAGCATTACTGGGCTTGCTGACCATAAATGTCAGAAAGCAGTTTTAAAGCCAAATTCATGCAAAATTCTTAGTGGGAGGGAGGTCTGTGTGTACACACCAGTGTAATGTAAAGTACTATTTTAAAACCCTGTAGTGAGCTTTCTGCTGTGTCCATTTCAGTGCTTTTATCTCCAGAAGAGCAGCATTCAACAGAGAGGTTCAAGTACACCTTGAGTATGTTAAAATATGTTTTCCTGTAGTGAAGCCCTTAATGGTGTTTGCAAAAATGAGCTAATTGTATTCATCCCCTGCGTATTTTTGGTAGGCTATTTTGCAGCTGTTTGTCTCAGTTTCTTTAACTGTGAAATTGGAGGGATAGTAAGGACTTACATAT